CTCTCTCTCTCTCTCTCTCTCTCTCTCTCTTTCTCTCTCTCAAAGTAAATACATTAAAAAAAAAGAAATTAATGAGGTTTTAACACGTCTGGGGTAGAGACAGGTTACACAGAGAGGCTGTCACCACAGAACAGACTAACAAATGTAAGATCTTCTTAACGAGGGTGGGGGGAAATGTTCAAAGTATCACAAGGACAAATGAAATTCTGTCATAGGTGAAGGTATTGTCTAAACCACACGACTCTGAGTCCGCACAAAAGCAAAGGGTAGGCCACCTGACTAACACAACGGCGTCACAGACAGAGCTAGCAGAGGACACGGCCATGAAAACTATTCATCAAACCGCTAAGGCATGTGGCTTTGTGAGGATTAAATAAGACAAAACACGCTTCGTGCTTCATGTCTTGTAAGTGTTCACAAAACCTACCGTTTGAAACCTGTCCTATGGTATGAGTAAAGCTGATCTCTGTTTCACTGTACAAAATGCAAAGGCTCCAGAAAACTCACTGTATGGTCCCTGCTTTTGTCTAAATTCATGTGTGAGAAGCTTTCCTCTCGCTTTTTTAGCTGTCAATGAATGAGAGTTACCTAATTCCACTCATCTTTTTTCCTCTTTTATTTTTTAATACAGTTGCAAATCATGTGATCTACTTTGTTCTTTTTTCCCCCCAAGGACAGCTAAGCAACTTTAACAGCCCTATTACCTTAATGAACTGAAGCCATTCAGCGAAAAGAGTTGGTATTCACTTCATCAAATCTAGTGGATGATAATTTTCCGAAAAGCTAAAGACTAATTCTTGAGGATTTTTTGGAGCCCTGTGACAATTTGTATCACCTAATAACCTATGTGAGTGAAAGTTGGTGTCCAGTGACTGCGAAGAAGATAGAAGGAATGTTGCAGAAATATAAATAGGCCAGCACTGAAATTTAATTAGACACTGCATATGTTAATAATAAATTCAATTAATTTAGCTTTCTACCTATGCTAGAGAAAAAAAAAATACCCAGGCAAAATAATAATTCATTTTAAATGCCTCACTTGGTAACCTCCTTTCCTGAAGAGTGATTTATGCAGTAATTTACTGGCTGTTTCTTCATAAGATTGTTCCAAACCAGCCCTTTTGAAATAATAATAATTTCTGAATGTGTGTTGTGAGAGATATAACAAATGCCTTCTTATTAATTTTCATTTAATGAGTTGCCTATTCACATGGTAATTTTTTAAAAATTCTCTTCTTAAGATAAACAGGTTATAAATACTGTGGGTAACACTTCCATCTCACAAAAATCGAACAGAAAACCCATCTCATATTCTCTACATGATTTGAAGGTCAATCAGTTGCAAATTTTCTATCCTAAATAGGCATCTGTTTCTTTCCCAGTTAGCATAGCAGATCCGCTTTAAATTCCAAAAGCCAAGTGATTCACATTGGTGAAAAAAGAAAAAAAAAATATTAGCAGCAGGAAAGGTGCTAGCAGGGATAAAAGAGGGATAGATGGGGTACAAAGTCATGAGCAAGGTGGAAAAGAAGTTAGAGTTGCTTAAGGAGCCCATGACACTGACCTTTTTGTTTTGTTTTAAGAACAAAAAGAAGATCGTCTCTTACAGCTTTCTATTTGTCCAAGTTGCCCCCCCTTTAAAAAGATACCAAAATTTCTAGCATAAATATTAATGTTTAAGAGAATTTAATTGCTTACCTTCTCAAAAAGCTTAATTCCATACCAACTCATTAACTATATATTGTCATAATAAAAACAGAATGAAATAATAAGAACAAAATAGTAAAAAGTAGGAAGAAGAAATTGCTCACAAGAGTCCTAGGTATTTCAAATGGTTCACGTCTGTTTTAAGAGGCTTGTAATAGACAGGGCAAGGCTCTTAAAAATAATTCCTTCTTAAAAGTAATTCCTTGTAACAATTGGGAGAGCGCGCCTAAAGTATTAAATAATTCAAATGCAATTGTTACTTACGTGAGAACCGAAAGGGCCTCGCTCCCAGCCCGCACTGCCTCACACCCTCTCCGTGGAAAAGCCCGTACTGCATTTCTCCCATGAACTTGTCCAGCTCCTGACCAGAGGCATTGACGAGCAGAGCCCCTGTTTTGCAGAGGAAGGTGGCTTTGATCCACAACGGTGTCCCCAGGGCTGTCACAACTCCAAGGGCGCACACGAAGCTTAACACCCCAGCCATACAAAAAATGACTTTCTTTTGTTGGTTTGGCATGATGAGAAATGGCTTTTGTGAGAGTGAGGTCTAAAGAGGAGACTTTTGTGACTGATGAGAAGTGACTGCCCCTTTGGCTGCATTTATTGTAGAAGCTGAATGGACAGATCCCGGCCACAGAGGCACCTTCACCCTCAACGGTGGTTCTCGTCAGTAGAATGGCAGGATATGGAGACTTCTTCATCATACTTACTTGACTTCTTTCCTGCTGCTGCTTCTCTCTAATTTGGAAGCTTTGGACTAAGAGTCTGTAAAATAAAACTCTTTCATGCTGCCTTCGACAATCTCCTCTTGTGTCACTTGGTAACAAAGGTCTAAGATAACAGATGGAGTCCTCCCTGTAACTTGATAAATGCCTCCGCTTTCCTCAGCCTTTTGTCTGATTGGATGAGTTGAAACTTTCAGAAACAGGCTTGGCTCCTATGGCAGATTTTCAGCAACCTGAGAAGTGCATTTTTTGATGTGTTTCTGTTTTTGTTTTTGATGGGGGCTGAAGAGGTGTGTGGACAGAAGAAGAACATATATGTATTTCTTGGTAATTAATTGATTTTGGAAAATGTTAATGTAACAGGATAAAATATTGAACTGAGTTGGGTTCTGTGTCAATATGAAGTGCCCTAGACCAACCATCAGGGCCTGTCCCCCTAACTCCTTTTCTTCCCAATCCATGATTTGGAATCATAGAAAAGTTCATTCCAATTTTTCCTGGGGCACAGGTGCAAATATCTAGTTTTCTAAAAGCTTTCCTTCAAAATGCTTTGCTGCTTCAGGACTCTAGCAAGGAAATGAGGTTCTGGGTCTGAGAAATATCTGAATCTGTAAAGAAGAGAAGGGCACTGTCATGGAAAGAAGAGATTGTGTTCATATAGTCTGCTCTAAGAATTCACCACAGGGTACCTGGGTGGCTCAGTTGATTAAGTGTCCAACTCTTGATTTTGGCTCAGGTCATGATCTCATGGTTTGTGAGTTTGAGCCCTGCACTGGGTTCTGTACTGACAGCATGAAGCCTGCTTGGGATTCTCTCTCTCTCTGCTTGTCTCTCTCTCTCTCTCTCTCAAGTAAACTCAAAAAAAAAAAAAAAAAAAAAAAAGGAATTTACCACAGAAAAGCAAGGGTCCTAGGAGAAGTCATCAGAGAGACAAGAGACAAATTCATGAGCAAGATTAAATAGCAAGTAAGTCAGGTTACATCGTTAATGTCTGAAAACTAACGTTGAGAACTTAGTAACAAATTTTTACCTCAGCATTTCTACTGAGATTTTCCCTTCAGACACGGAACGTGTGTGTGTGTGTGTGTGTGTGTGTGTGTGTTTACTGAGTATCTATTGTATGGCACATTATTGTGCTAGGCTCTGGCCCAGAGCCTAACTTCTAGTGAGAACTTAGTATGCATGGTATATTGCTCAGTATTTTACCTAAATTATATTATTTAGTCCTCACAATCACTGTATGAAGTGATGATGAAAATGATATCTCCATTTTATAGATAAGGAAACTGAGGCTCAGAGAGACCCAGCAACTTGCCCAAGAGAGTAATGGAGCTGGGATTCAAATCCAGGTGTTCTCATTTTGAGGTTTATCTGCTATCCTGAGCAAAGCCCTTGGCCTTGAAGAGAAGATAAGCTCTTCATCTTGGGTTGTATTGGGCTGGGAGTAATAAGGGCAGAGCAATCCTCACTAATTGTACATCTTGGATGCTTGGAGAACACAGGTATCTTCGAACAGAATTTTCCCACTTGGTCAAAAGCACATATTGATGCTGGTTTCTATTCTCTTGATCCACTTTTAAGCATGTCAGCTTAAGAGAAGTTAATAACAGAAGATGTATTTTATGCCACTGTCAGCATAAGTGAATCTCAAGGTTATGTGCACTTTGAGGGGGACTTTACGTACAGTCTTGGACTTCCTGGCACAGCTACCCTCTCTTAGTAGCTTCCAGAGGCTATCTTGTTGTTGTTTTGATTTTTTTTAATGTTTGTTTATATTAGAGAAAGAGCAGGGGAGGGCAGAGAAAGATGGAAAGATGGAGACAGAATCTGAAGCAGGCTCCAGGCTCTGAGCTGTCAACACAGAGCCTAACTCAGGGTTCAAACTCATGAGCTATGAGATCATGACCTGAGCCGAAGTCAGATGCTTCAGCGACTGAGCCACCCAGGCGCCCCCAGAGGCTGTCTTGTGAAAGATAGACAAGTAAGTATAGAACTGATCCCAAAATGCCCGTGGCCCTTCAGAGGAGGAAGGGGGCAACATAAACCACGACCACAGAAAAACAGAGCACACACTAGTTTCCAAAGAGGCACTCAAAATTAAGTTTCCAATCTAAGTAAGCTTTTTCATTTCATGTAACTTGACACCCACAATAAACAACTCACCACAGGTTATTTGCCCTCCCAATGAATTCTTCCCTGGATTTAGAATAATTGTCATCATTGTCCAGTAATGAAACAAGGGAGCAGCAGTGCCCCCAAGAAGTGGTTATCTGGGGTTACATGTGCTACACCCATTCTAGAAACCTTAGTTTGAGATGTCGAAGAAGAGCTATGCTAATTAAATCAGCATATTCTGTAATTGGAAGAGGCAGAATATTTCCAAGCCTGGGGGCAGAAATTATTTACAACGTAATCAATACTATGAGTACATCTATGGAAAGGCTGTGGTAAGAGAGGAGTCGTTAGCATGGGACAGTGGTTTAATGTGAACCAAACCCCAACCCATGGTATGGTAAGCGATCCAGGAAGATAAGCCTTGACTGGATATAGAGAGCAGTTAGATCACACCAGTTCTTAAGTGTGCCTCAGCCTACAGTGGGGTTTTCCCTGATCCGTAGAAACAGAAGAAAAAGAAATACAACATAGTTCTTTTATTGTAAAATTATGTCCTTCTTAATCTTTGTTAAAATTTCCTTTCTTTAATGAATAGTGATCATTAAATACATCCTCACTTGGCAAATTAAAAAAAATTGGCAGGTTGCCCAGGTGGCTCAGTCGGGGAAGCACCTGACTTTGGCTCAGGTCATGACCTCACGGCTGGTGAGTTCCAGCCCTGCGTTGGGCTCTCTGCTATCAGTGCAGAGCCTGCTTCAGATCCTCTTTCTCCTGCTCTCTCTGCCCCTCCCCTGCTTGCTCTCTCTCTCTCTCAAAAATAAACATTAAAACAATTTTTTTTAATGGCAAACTTCTATCTGTTCCGAGTTTAAACAACCAACCAACCCACGTTCTATAGTATGCAAAAGCATGGACCCCTGTGTGGAAAGGATGAGGCCTCAGGCTCATGGCAACCTGCATAGACAACATCTTCTGCTCTGACCCAGTGATTCTCTGCCTTGACTGTCCTTTGGAATCATTGGAGGAGACTTTTAAAATACTAATGTCTGGGCCCTAATCCTTGAGATTCAGATTTATTTATTTTAGGGGATGGCCTCAGTGTTGAAGCACCTTGGGGAGTTGCAGGGGGCAGCCAAGGTTGAGAACGAGGGCTCTCCTCACACAGCTGCCTTCTGATTGCTGACTAGGGTTCGCAGGTATCTCAGTGCTGGAGTGCATGCACACGTGAACATTCAGACACCAGAGAGAAATTTCCTTACTGTAAATTAATAAATTGGTACAACCATTTACAGCTCAAATTTCCTGAATTTTGTTCCGCACTAAGATCATGATCTTGTCAAAATGTCCCGATGGGTCAGGTTTCAGCCTATCTCAGACTAAAGCCTCGGCCCCAGATCACAGATTTACCCCAAATCACCATGAGAATGTCAACGGTGATATCTTCTGGTTGTGAAGCAGTCCCTCTCGGGTCTTACGCCCACCCCACCTCCTCTCTGCAGCTTCCTTTCAAACTTCAATATCAACCACCCACCGGCTGCATAGTAGTGTATGTGATCCACCCTCTGAGAATGATAGAATAGAACCTGGCAGTCATTATGCCTGACAGCCTCCTTTTGAAATTTCATCTTCAATGTCTTGAATGACAGTGATGACACCATTTTCCTTGCAGTCTCTCTGAGAATTTGAGTCATTAATGTCAGCAAGTTTTCACCAAGTATCCTACTGAAATCTTTACTTCTCTCAATCTTAACAGCAGTACATTTGGTAACATATGAAAATGGAACTAGGCCTTTTCTACCCTCCCTCCTGACCCCTTCCAGGTGCTGGTCGATGATAGAATTCTCCAGTGAGACCGGAAACGATATAGACAAAAGAGTACAATTGCAGACTATGCTTTTGCTTTCAGTATATCGTTTATGAGTCTTCTCATACTAATTTGGCTTCATTGGGTTTCCCTTATGGTTATTCAAAAACAAAAAAACAAACAAACAAACAAACAAAAAAAGGCCCAATTCCAAAGACATGGGAATTCTCATTGATTTGCTCCCTAAGAGTAAGAGACAGCATGGCACCATGACGAAAGAGCACTGGGTGGAGAGGAAGATATGACCCAGGGTCCAACACTAAAATTAAGAATTCCCTAATTACTCTGGCATTCATTTTACTCCTTTATGAAAAGAATGGTCTTGGCTACATAGGCAATTCTTAAATTATTTTTAGCCAGAGAAACCATTTCCTCAACTGAACTTTTGAGTGGAGTAAGAGATAAAAATTGAGCTTCTAGGGGTGCCTGGGTGGCTCAGTCGGTTGAGCACCCGACTTCGGCTCAGGTCACGATCTCAAGGTTTGTGAGTTCGAGCCCCGTGTCGGGCTCAGGGTTGACAGCTTGGAGCCTGGAGCCTGCCTCAGATTCTGTGTCTGCTTCTCTCTCTGCCCTTCCCCTGCTCCTACTCTGTCTCTTTCTCAAAAATAAAGAAACATTAAAAATGTTTTTTAAAAATTGGGCTTCTATACTGGAAGGGGTGGGGATGGAGGAGGTCTGCTGCGGACTCTCCTCACTCCTTTTTCCCTAAGAGCCTCCACTTGCAACCCTAGAGTCAGCTCAGAGACAATGATGGGCATGGGCCAGGCGATCCTTGAGTTGCCTTCTAACTAAAATTTTTTTGCCAGTTATAGA